GGGCATACAGCTTTAAGATAGAAATGTGTCAGTACACTTGGATTAAATTGATTAGAAATATTTAAGAAAAGGAAATAAGGAAAATAAATCAAAATTAACAATAAAATAGATTAAATATTTATAAGGAAAAACTGCCCCATTGGTATGATAAAGATTCCATACTTTCCGACAATCGTAATCCTTCTACTTTTCTTTACTTCCTGCTAAGCTCTACACTTTCACAATTAGTTAATATATAAAGTTCTTAATAAAAGTCACGGTCTTAATTAAGAATTTATATATATATTTATTTCACTTCCTTTTTGATTTAATCCAGAAATTTCTACCTGTTTTTCCCTGAGTGTATCTGTCGACGCAACAGGGATGCTGCTCCCCATCGATGATGATACATTAAAAGTTCGCCATCCCGCTTTGACTTTCAAAATGTGAATGCACTTTTGTTGTACGTGACAGGTTTTTGTTGCTCCACTTTTGTTTTCTCATCTTGTTTTTGGCTTTTTCTCTTTATTTTTCTTTATTTTGTTTGTTCCTTTATTATATTTTTTGTTTTTGCTGAACAGCAGGAAGGCGAAGACGCGCGCTTGGGTTTATTGACTTTTTGACTCACATTAAATGGGTCTTAAATTCTTGAAAAGTTTTGATGCGATGGCTTAGTTTAAGCTGGCCAACCGATGACTTACAGCAGAGAGGCTTTATGGCTATCATTTTTGGATGACTAGAGTTAAGGTAACCGCAAAATGTTATGGCCAAGCGAACATGGCGAAAATAAACTCAATTTTTAGGAGTTCTCGATGTTTCTGGCGTCAAATTGGGTCAGTTTGGAATTGGAAAAGCATAACAAGTTAATAGTTTTATTCGAATTAGATATATATTATAGAGGTGCACAATTTTTCCCAATTTTGGTAAAACCCACATACGCACATATTAAATGAGCGAAAAATATATATATTTTTTAGCAAATCACTTAAACAAGTCACGTGCATGGAACAGGGTCGATTATGGCTAATCAAGGGGAGGTTACACACAAAAGACAACAGCAATTCGATTCAGCAATACCTGCTCAGTAGCCCCGTATTATCAATTAAAATCGGAAATAGAATAAATAAAGCCAATGAGTGCGTGTGAGGTCATCACATCGACTTCCTCGACTTCCCATTCAACCCTGCGATGACCCTTCAATCAGCCTGCGTGTGTTTGTCAGTTCGATGGAAACCAATTGCCGACGGCTGTCAAATTAACATTACCCACAAATGTATAGCTTTTGTTACAAATATATATATTTGTATATGTATATGTATATTATGTTGTTTTGCCAAAAAGGTTTCATTGATTGCCTGAATTGCTAATGGCAGTTGGCCAACGAAATACCTTGATATGATGAGGAGGGTTTTGGGAAATTGTTTAAGGTTTAAGCTTGGTTTATATGGGAGTACTTGGAGCTGTTTATAAATGAAAGGGTAGATATAATTTAGTATAATATATAATAAATCATTCATATATCTTTCCTCCAAGTACCTTTCGTTCGCTTTGCAGAACTTTATTCAGAATTTCTTTGGCCACTTTTCAGTGGCAGTAGCACTCGAAGTGGCCACACCTGCCCCATGCATTTAAATGCAATTAAGTTCTATGCCCATTTACAATTATCCACTCCGATCATGCGGAGCTGCGAACCTAACTGGCAATTATTCATGTAACTGGGATGGCAGACAGACCCGACGATGGGCCAAGATCGTGCTAAAAATAAAGGGAATGCATTATATGCCGGCCACTTAAGGGCAATTTTCGCTTATTATGGGGATAATAGAGAGTGAGAGAGAGCTCAAACATGGGGATCTAACATACTGAACGAGTCAGGAATAGAATAGACCAAGAGCACCACTAAAAATAGATGCAGCCAATGCGATGACGATGACGATGATGGCCCATAAACGAGGAGATGGCTGCCAAGGAGCTGGAGCTTGGTCGAGCATGCCAAGCTGCTGATTGACATAAAAGAGCAAGTGGAGTTGTAAAAAAATAAAAAAGAAAAGAAGAGGAGCTGGCAGCAGTTATAACCCAGAAGAAGATGAATCAACATTCCGAGCGGTCAACGTACCACGTTAAGGAATGGCACGCCATCGAGGATGCGGAATGGGAATGTGGATGTGGATGTGGACGAGGATGCCCGTCCGAGATGATGATGCGGCTTGTGGAGCCTGGCTATGGCTTCATAAAGACAAAGACATCCCAGTGGCCAATGCATTGAAAGTGGCTGCTTAACCAAGGCGAAAACTAAACAAGACGTCGGCAATTACTCTACACAACTCTGGCGGGGATTAGATGAATGCTCTTTTGAAATTTGGATTTATTATGGTTTGAAAACTAAATGGATATATATTTTTAAGGGGTTCTTTAAAGTATATTTAATGTGTGATAGCAAAGGAACACCGTAAACTGAGGAAAGCTTATGGTAATTCTTGAAAAATATGGATAAATTTAGCAAATATTAGATTTTATTTAAAGAATACCAAAAGTCTCCCTTAATAAAACTTTAATAAAATTGTACATTTTATTAAACTGTTTAATGACAAACTCTTTAATATTTACTACCTAGATAAATTGATGGAAACAATATTGGTTTTAAAGTTTCATAGAAAGTCAAGTTACCTTTCCCTCGAAAGAGTATAGCCCGAACCTCGAAGTGAGGCAAAAATGAGCAAAGATGCCAGAACGTAACATTAAAATAAACGCGCACAGATAAATCTTCGGGCGGAAAAAGGGGGCAGTGTTCCCAAAGTGGTCCAAGTTCCCGTGTTGCCCCTGCCCCATCGAAACTCCACCCAATCCTGCAGCGAAAATGCAATCAAATGCCCGCGTTCCTGCCTGTGTGTCTGTGCGAATACGTGATGTCCAGCTCCAGTGGTCAGTCTGGGCGGGAATAGAGAGGAGGAATAGGACTGGGACTGGGACTGGGACTGGAACTGGGACTGAGACTTGGACTGGGGGCATCTGCAAAATGCACGCACATCGCACATCCGTGAAATTCCTGAGTCGCTGCCAGTGCCAGTGCCCAGTGCCTTGCATTTACGTTGACGTTGCAATTACAACTGAACCCATGGTGGTGGAAAGGGCCAAGGGATCCCTGGATGGCAGTCTCAGTTAGTCCAAAGCCCTTTCCTTTCTTTGGCTTTCTGTTGCCCATTCTCACGATAAAATCCAGTGCACTGGGGAAAACTTCCTAACTTACTTAACTTACATATAAAATACTTCCTAAAAAGAAAGGAAACTAACTTCAAGAAGCCGAAGTATGTGTTACCCTTGCAGTGACCTATAGAATCATGGGTTTGAATCTGAAATCAATCATAACTATCTTCCTTATTAATAAAGATTTTGATTTTAAATAAAAATATAAATAGATCTCTGGCAATCAAGAAAAGATCTATATGTTGATAGGTTCATTTTTTGGGTAAATCAAGGTTTTAAAATAATCATAACTAAGCCAAAAATGCATTAAATTTAACACGGAAAGCCTTTCTGTGCTAGTCTTTATTAGGTTAACAAAGCTACATTCTTATTTTAAAGATATAAAAAATTTAAAATTGTTGCAAATTTTTGGCAATTTTAAAGATGTAACCCCTTATAAAAAGTTGAAAAAATTATGAAAATTTATTTTTTTACCAAACATGCCTAGATCAAAACAGCTGTTAATTCTGATCAAGAATATATATGATTTATAGGGTTGGAAATTACTCCTTCACTATTTTGCAAGCTTCTGACTGAAATTATAATACCCAGCAAGGGTAAAATATTGTAGCAAAAGTTGGCGCCAAAATCAAGATCAGTTTTGAAATTATCGTAAGGATAAGAAATATAATATATGTATAAGATATAATTTTCATGCATAAGACTTACCGCAGTTGCTTCTTCTTCTTCTTTATTTAGACATCGATGGGTAGTATCAAAGTAGTCTTCTTCCAGGTTATCCAGATGCATTACTTGGGCCACGTCATATTTATCGGATCGAATTATCAAGGTAGTCTTCCTCCTAGTTATACAGATGTTTATCAATGGCCACATCATATTTATGTTGCCGAAAGGTAATCACTATCACTATCACTATCACTATCACCCGAGATGTAAACACGGCGGACGCCACGGACAAAATGAGGTCAGCGGAATAGCAGCGGCTCTATTTATAGTGTCCGAGAAAAGAGAGCAGAGAAAGAGAGAGCGGGAGAGAAAGGGGTATCTCTAGAGATGCAGAGGCAGCGATAACGATAGAGCTACTGAAAGAGGGAGCGAGAGAGAGCAAGAGAAAGAGAGAACGAGAGCCGGGCTTATCATATATGCATATAAAAATCTAAGGGGAGGCTTATAGTTATTTAAAATTAAAATTGCTCTCTTTGAAAAATTTTTTTACTGATTAGGATAAAAAAGCGTTTACTCTTATTTTGTAAAATGTGCAGCTTAAGGATATTTTCCCTGTGTATCCCCCATTCTCAATTCCATTCCCGAGTCGCGTCTGCTGACCGGTGCCTGTTTACTGTGTGATTATTACAAGCAGCGGGGAAAATAACAGGCTTTCGCTTAGAGATGCCAGAAGCTGCTCCTCCTTGGGTCGACCAAGTGAGTTACTTAAGAGAGCTGCCTGCTCGCCACCGGCGGCTTCATTACAGAGCCACGTACTCCAGTCCAGTCCTGCATTCACAAAGCCCACTGAAGTGGCCCTCTCTAAGCCCTCGACATGGAGGACGTCCTTCCCGGGGCCAAAAAGGCTTTCTGCAGGGCCAACAAGTGGTTTGTCGCCGCATTGTGTATCAATACTCGACACACCACAAAGTCCATGATTATTCCCACCTCCTGCCATCGATATATGCATTTGAATGCGTCATCGAATTAATTGCAGAGTCTCCAAAGGGAAACGGCGATTAGTTATTCCATGGTCAAGTTTCCATGGCACCCATTCTCAGTGGTAAGTTGTATGTCAATGCAAAAGGGGGATTAATTACAACAAATCGGTGTATCTTTTGACACAGGGTTTAAGCTCTTCGGTTGTCTATAAGCCCAAGTTTACATTAATTTATTTGACAGTCACTTGGGCGCCAGCAGAATCTCACAAAATAATCTCAATGTATTTAAATCCCCTCAAGATCTAGAGCATCCACATTTAGGGTAAAATTCAGCTCAATAGAACTTGATGGGTATGGGTTTCTTGAGGGGTTTCCTGTCCAAAATGGAGAACTGCAGGCCCTCGGACTTGCCAAACCGGGTGACCTTATCGATTCTATAGGCCGCCGGTCCAGGACCGACTTTCTCATGCTTCCTGCTATCAATCCTCTGGCCGAAGGAGTATCGCGGTCCTTTTTGACCAAAGCAGCTGGGCAGCATATAGGCTCCAGGTCCAGGTCCTGGTAAAAATACGCTACACAATTTAGCTTTCTTGGGGATTATATACCCACAACTTACCATAGCTATTCGACATTTTAGTGAAATATTTTGTTATATACTCGATTTTTGCTAATACCACTTCAAAAAGAAAAAATAAATAAAAAGAAATACCAATTTTGGAAGCAAAGGAACTGTTATCTAAGCCAAGAGAGGCTGAACTGAGAAATGAAGTAAACCCAACTTGGCACATAAAAATCAAGGAAACTATGATTCTACATATCAGAGCTTACTTTTATGTAATCATTTTTCAACCGTAGTAACTGCTCCACAAATGTTTTAAAAAAGATTCCCACATATTTGATGCCCGCCAACTGATTGATTATTTATTTATTTATTGTGCATATTATTTGCAATCAGAGCTTAATTATCCGTAAATCAACACAGAGTAAAGAGGAGAGAGAGAGTAGAAACGCTACTCATGCTCATTAATTATTAACACCTAGGGCGTAAAAAATCATTAATTAACTTTTATGCACACGCCACACTAATTAATATTTAATTTGCCTCAAATTGTACAATATTTTTGCATTGTTCTATTCGTTTTACAGTTTCATCCGTCTGCTAATAGCTTTATTATATTTATATATATATATATGTATAACTATCTTTCATCTGGACAATTTGTGAATTAACATAAAGAACACGCCCCTTGACAGACAAGAGGTAATTTTATGCGATCGAAAGCTGGCGCTTTATCGAATTAAGCATCTCGAATGCCGCATGTTACTACCAATAATATGTTAACCGTTAACCAAATTATGTTGACATGAAATATTCATGGCATATTTGACATAAATCACTTAACATAAAATGCTTAACATCTTTATTGTGGGTTTGGGAGAACGAACGTGTGTATTCAGTCGTTTGCGAAAACTTAATAAATGCAAATTATTTCGGTTTCGGCTGGCTGAAGCTTGAATTATTTAAATAAATGGTCAATTCTTTTTTTTATTTTTTGTTTGAAAACACTTTAGTTATTATAATCTAAAAGCCAAAAAGAAGCTAGGTTGAAATATGGCTAAAAATATATATGTATCGTATTATCTCACTCACTTAACACACGTAATAATTTCATTAATTTGCATGAGTTTGAGTTTAGTATTATTAAGCAGAAGTCTTTTTTCAATTAGTACTTTTAGTTACAGCTCGCCTTGACCCCTTGAACTCTTTCCTTTTTTCTCTCTTCTTGGCTCAAACTTTTCTCAGACATATTTTTTAATTTTCAAAGTTTTTTTTGGCTGATGTAGCAGCAGGACTTGAACATAAATTAGAAGAAAGGAAATCAATAAAACTATTTAAAGGGGACAAACTTAAGGATTTTCCCCAAAGTAATTTCATGGCTAATGTTCCGCTTTCCCATTTTCCCCATTTTGCAGCTACAGAAATGCACAGAACAGAGAAGCATTCAGAGAAGCATTCGGAAAACTCCCAGCTGAGCACAGATCTACTGCAGATGTCCAGGAAAAAATGCAATAATAACCAGCAGAGACGAGGCCGTCGGAGGTGGGAACCCATCAGCCTCCTGACACTTTTGGCTCTAACCATTTGCATGGCCCACACGTCGTTGGCTACTGTTGCCGGTAAGTGTTGAATTCCAGGCAAGAAACGACAAAAAAGCTAATAAAATTCCGTTATGAGGCAAGTGATTGGACAGGCAACAGGACGACATACATACACATGGCATATTGCAGACTCAGACACTGACACACACACATACAAGCCTCAATTAAAAGCACATCAATAACAGTCATTGCCCCCACCCACTCTGATCCTGGGTGATGTCCTTGCAATTGGCACTTGTCGCGCCATTTCGGCTTGAGGTTCTCCCTCTCTCTCCTCTCGGAGATTTCGGATTTTGATTTATTTAACAATTTAGCAACAAGATTGGCTATGTGTCGCAAGCTGTGACTGTGACATCCTTTCTTTTTCAAGCTTCTAGGACGCTTTTTTCTACTCAGTTTTGTGTTAAGATCTGTACATAGCTATAGATAAAAAACACACAAATTGAATGTTGAACAAAAAAAGGGGAAGATTAATTAAATTCAGGAAATAACATAGCTCTTTAAACATAGAGAGAAATGTAGTCAGTAATTCAGTCAGCAAAATGGGTATTAAATTTATATATTTTTAAAGACATCAAAACTAGTTTTATTTGGGTGTAATCAAATTATAAAACTTAACTAGATAATTTAAACTATCTTAATAATATTTATTATTAATTGTGACAGCTTCAAATATTCTTGCTTGCGATTTGCAGCACTTAAATAAACCCCAAATAAGTTTATACAATCTAAATAAATAATAAACAAAGTTGTCACCTCAATTAGTTTATTCCCACGCTCTATTTTCCAAGTACTTGCATATCCTTTTCTGCTATTTTCCTATTCCCAAAGGACCTATCCACAAACCGCAGAGACGCCTCAAAGCCTGCAGTTGTGGAAGCGAAAACAACGAACCGAAAATAAACTTGTCGCTGCAGTTTATAGGGAAATTAACACTACTCCTCGCATGGCCCCAAGAGCGCTTCAAGCCAAAGCAAACATGGCCAGGACGATGGTGATGGTGGGTTGTGGGAGAGAGCGGAAAAACAAAATGTTAGCCAGCTTGGCTCGCTTAAAAATCCACCAGAGGCCAAAATTTGAAAAGCGCTTTAATCGCTAAGCTGCGTTTAGGCGTCAGATTTTGTGTTTCCCGACGGTTTGTTCGCGTTTCACGTTTACCCCCGAAGCCCCATATAGAGGTATTTGTGTGTGTGGCCATGTCCTTTTTGTCCTTTGTCTTTTACCAGCTGTTTAAACATTTTTGCTAACTCTGCCGTTGTTGTTTCAGTCAGGATAATGAAGGGAAACTCTTGGTCTATGAACAAGTTGTTCTAGAAAATTATTAATACAAAAGTTAATTAAATAAATCAATTTCTTAGGATGTTATATGGAATAATATATTATTTTCAAAGGGGTATTTTTTTCCAAGGTCTCCGTCTATAAGATACTTTTGATCTATCTCCAAGAATAAGAATACTTGGTTCTTGAGATCTACCAGGGTTAGGCAAGTAATGAATCTCCTAAAACACTTATTATGTATTAATAAAGTTAAATTAAAATTCTTTTAAAAATATCCCCTAATAGAGAGTATCGTAAAGTCTACTTTTCCAATTATTTTGTTGGTTTTTCCGGCGCTCTGTGCCGCAACGAGCCGCCAAATGAGGCATCATCATGAGGGAGGCAAGGAAGAGCGGCTGCGGAATCCCGGGGCTTCCCCGGACTGGCACTCGCGGAAGTGGCTGCTGTGGTTTTTCCATGTGTTTGCTTGGCAGCTGCAATTTTCGCTGGCCATTTTACACGTCCTCCCCCTTGGGATTTTTCCCCCACTCCCTCCCCTGCTGGCCACGTTCAAGTTCAGCGCTGTCCCAGCATAAAAAGTTGGAAAGATTCCTGGCCACAAAAGAGCGGTGTGTGGCCTAGTATGCATTTTTAAACAAACCCAGGCTCGCTTAAATGAGGATTTCAGGACTTGAATTAAAAAGGAGTTAGGCCCAACAAAAAAAAAAACAACCCTACCTGCTTTTGCCTTCTGAACAATAGGGTCAAATTGATTTTGGTCAACCGGCACGAAATTAATTTTAATTTTTTATGTGCAACCTTTTTAATTTTCAATTAAGTGAGACACGGCCACGGATTGCCATAAAAGGTTTTAATTCGCAAGGAATACCTGTGAAGATAAAAAAGAAGAGAGTTGACCATTAAAATTCACTTACATTTCTGGATTTTATGTTTTCTTATTGATTTAATTCACTTTCGAATTTCTTTCAATTAAAAATCGGGTTGACAGAAGCAGAAAAAATAATAAACTTTCAACCGAAAACTAAAGCAGACATACCTTTAAGTAACCTTAAAATAACTGAAAAAAAACTAAGGTTTTCCGCCCACATAAAAAAGGACATAGAGTATTAAGGATAAAGAGGCTTTTCTTTTTTAACAGGCTCGTTTTTATGAACCTGAAAATGGTGCTCGACCATAAACCAAAAGTCAAACCAGAAAATGGCACTCAAAGCCTTGTTAGGAGTGGAAAAACAAACCGAAAGACAAACAGAGGGTACAAGGGGACTACAATAAGAAATGGATGCATTCCGAGGATCCCCCTCCGCCCGCCGTGTGTAGTTGAGGGAAACCTGGCCAAGCCAAATCAAACTAAGTCGTAGGGGAGAAAAACCCTGTTGGTATTCCGTGTGCAGCTGCCATCCTGAGGCCCCAGGACAATTGCCAAGGTGAAAAGGGGGAAAAAAGTGAAGGGAAAACAAAGGAAAGCACAGTATTCGACAGCATATAAAAATGAACTACAATTTTGCAAATTTTAAGCACATTTCAGTTGCTGTGAAAAAGTCGTCAGAGTGCCACAAAAAAAAAATAAAGAAAAGAAAGGAAAAAAAGAAACCGATTTGCATATTTACACCCTGGCAAAGCATACATAACCTGCATACAATAAATCTTGTGACGTCTCGAGAGAAAGACGTCACGTAGCCAGAAGAGGATGGAGGAAAGCCAGAGATGCTGGGGATACGCTGCTCTTCCTGTTTCCTGCTCTCAAGTTCCTGTCCTTGCATAAGGTCCCTGCATCCTTCGTCGTCGGATTTGCTGCCACAGCCGCAGCCGCCTGACGGTGAAAAATTGTTGCCAGTTCGCATGAAAATTGTCAGAGTGCTATTACGAAAATGAAAAGAAAATCGAGCTCATCATGTGTTTTGTGTGTACTATATATGAAAATACAGATAATGAGAGCTACGAAAAAATAAGCAGTAAATGCGGACGAAGCACTGCATTTATATTCATGAGAAGTGTGCCACAAAAAAAAGAGAGTGTCTTTATAATAGTTTCGAGAATGGCTTAAATGGGACAGGTTACCGGGCCAAATGGGAGCTGTCATCAGGAGGGGAAACGTGCCAAACGGAAGCTGCTTATAAATAGGAAAATGCATTTAGTTGGGGTGGGGGGGAGAGGAATATATAATACAATAAAAAATATGTGGGGTGCATATGTAAGAGGGAACTGGGATTCTGATAATTCGTAAGTTTTACTCAGTTAAGCAAAAGGAGATATAAAATGGAATTTAAAAGGGAATTTTAAAATATTTTTGAAAGCTTATTTAAATTATAAAATTAAGGAACATGTCGCACTCTCTCTCTAAGAAATTGTAACCTGAATTTGACCAGTTTTCCCCTTAAAATGTAATATCCTCTCGCACCTTGTTGTGTTGTAATTCCAACAATTCCTTAGAAACTGATTGACTTTCGACCAGCCAGTGTCGGTCTTCGCTCTGGGACCACCACATCATGTGCTCCTATTAACTCGCATCCTGTGCAAGCCAGGGAAAACCCACATATTGTTACACTAAAAGCCGTCACGTGGAACGGGGTAAATGGATAAATAACGATATGTTTACAAATGGCACACACAGAGAACACACTGAATGTGTGGAGGGATAAGCGAAAAAAGGGCGGTGCTGAGGCGAATGTGTCGCTGATTTATATGCGAATTTTTATATGCACAGTTAAGGTGGTGGCACGTAGCAGGAACACTCCACAGGGAGACACGATCCAGCCCGGGAGACAACTCAACTCAACTCAACTCAACTCCTTGGGCGCTGGTTGCCTGTTGCCTCTGCAAACACATGTGGCGGCATCTCCGGCTGTCGTCTGAAGAATTTGTATGCAAACAAAACGGGACAAACAACAAGCGGCAAACAAACAGGCAACAGACAGACAGAGAGACAGACAGAGAGACACATGCACACACGACAATGTTTCTCTTGCTGTTTCCCCAACATCCGATCCGCGTGGGAATGGCAAACGTCTTCAAGGCGAAGCTGGCTGTGATTTTTTGCGACCCTTTATTTTATTTAATTTTTCCTCACAGCTTAAAGCTTGAAACTTGAAGCAACTTTAAGCAAAACGGCAAATAGCTGCTCATTTTTAATGCATACTTCATAAATCCTTGTCATAACTTTCTTGGCCAAGTTGAGTCTGCGGAGTCTTCTTCACCCATCTGCGCTTCGGGATATTGCGTATACGCAGCGTTGGTGCAATTTTACGGCGCATGGCCATGCCCCCTGAAACAGCGGCAACTATTTATCAGGCATTTATATGCAATGACAACCACTGGAGATCCATCAGCCATAATGCCATAATATTAGATCAGAAGTCATCAATAAAGTCGGGGGATAAAGAAAAGTTTAGCTTAGTAGAAAAAGGAACTGAAAGCTTTAAAAAACTAATACTACTAAGTATGAAATAAAAAAGGAGCAAATGGTATCCTGTATTATTTTAATTACTCTTAAAATTTCATTTTATTTTATATAGAAACAACTTAAATCCCTTTCTTCCCTCTTATACCCATAAATACCCTTTTCCTTACACTACATAAATTATTATGGTCAAAAAGAGGCTCTTGAATTTCCACCAGACAATTCAACTTCAATTAGCATTAACATAGGCCCAAGTCAGTTGGATTTTCTGCACCCCTTTTTTCTCTCTTCGAAAAAAGAAAAACTTTCCAGTAAACCGGAAATATTTTAATTTCCGTTTCTG